TTTAGCCATCTCAACAAGTTCCATCATCTTCACCAACCATTCCTCCATTTTGGGTAGTGCTGAATCTTTCCATTTTTGTGCATATAATAATCTCACTGCAGTTATCACATAAAAAACAAAGTTCAGTGACTTTTCCCCCACTGTTTATCCATCAATCCTAAAAGAAAAACCTCTGGTCTCAACTGAATATTTATCTTGAAAATCCTCTGAATCAGTGTATGTATTTGAATCCAGAATTTTCTAACTTTTTTACATGTCCACCAAACATGACAAAATGTCCCTTCTTGTTGTTCACATTTCCAGCATAAATTTGAAGTGCATTTATACATTCTAGACAATTTCTCTGGTGACATATAATAATGGTATATCATTTTATAAAATTCTCTTTAAGATTATAACATAATGTAAATTTCAATCTTTTCAATCACATATTTTCCCATTGTTCCATCTGTATATTATAACCAAAAAATTTAGCCTACTTTATCATACATTCTTTCACTTATTCTTCTATTTCAAATTTAAATAAAAGTTTATACGTTTTAGCAATTACATGTTCATCATTTGTATACAATTCTATTTCAAACTTAGTCTTACAATGTTCAAACCATACATTTTTTGTCTACTTTAAATCTTTCTAATAAATGCAAATTAGAGAACCATTGAGAACTGTATCCCTCTGCCACCAGTTCTTCTCTTGATTTTATTTTACATTCCCCTTGATGTATCTCATGATAAGTTGGCCTATTATTTCTCATATATAAAATGCTTCTTGTGCTGAGAGCCACAGAGGTGTTTTCGGGCACAACCTGGGTTTGTATCCATTCCATATTCTCAATGTGGCATGTCTAACATAAGGATTTTTAAAATCCACATTAACCTTGACTTTGTCTTACCACGATTACCATGCCACCCAAATCTCAGGTTGGGTTCTTCTAACTCCAAAAGCCTTCTATTTCTTAGCAACACCCATTCCTCCATCCAAACCAAAAAGCAAGCTGTAAAATACAATTTCAAATCAGGTAGACCCAATCCTCCTCTTTCCTTTTCATCTTGTAATACCTTATATGTAACTTGTGTTTTTTTCTCCTGCCACACAAATTTAGATATATCCTTCTGCCACTGTTTAAATGGTGCATCAGTTGTCAAAAGAGGTATTGTCTGAAACAAAAATATCATTCTAGGCAATACATTCATTTTTATCATAGAAATTGTCCCCAGCAATGACCATTTGATCTTCTATTTTCATATTTTTGGTTAACATCTTCGTCTTCGGTTTATTAATCTTGAAACCTGCTAATGCATCAAATTCTTTTAATTTGCCCATTAATATTTCAATTTCCTTTAAAGGATCTTCCAGAACCAACAACCAAGATCTCCAAAAGTCTTTAATTTATAAGTTTCTTTTTTATTCTTTACTCCCACAATCCTCTCATCTTGTCTTATATCTTGATTCAATATTTCAAGAACTTAAATAAACAAGAGAGGGGACAGTGGACATCCCTATCTTGTTCCTTTTTGTATCTCACAGGGTTTTTTTTAGATCTCCATGAGCAATTATTTGTGCTTTCTATGAAGTGTAAATTGATCTTACTGATTTTATAAACTTCTCTCCAAAATTTATATCTTCCAAAATCTTGAACAAGAAAGCCCAATTCAAATTGTCAAAAGCCTTCTCTACATCTAAGAAACTCAATGTGGCTTGTTTTTCATTGTGTTGCTCCAAATATTCCAAAATGTCCAACACATTTTTAACATTATCCTTTAATGTTTTTTAGGTAAAAACCCACTTTGATCCTCATGAATAAATTCTTGCAAAATTATTTTCAGTTTATCAACTAAAATGGTTGTGAACAACTTGTAGTCATTATCCAATAATGATATCAGCCTATAGTTTCTTCTTAAAGTCAAATCTTGTTCTTCTTTAGATATTAGTGCTATATTGGCCTCTTTCCAAGTGTCTGGCATCTTTCTTCCCTGTAGGATGGAGGAGGAAAAGAGAACCCTGTAGAGTTAATCGTGTATTATAAAGGTTGTAAAAGTTCACCTTCAAAACATTTATAATAAGAACCTGATAATCCATCTGGTCCAAATACCTTTCCTAGTTTAATCTTTTTTATAGCTTCAGAAACTTTCTTTATTGTTATAGGTCCATTCATAATTTGGCTTTCTTCTGTAATCTTCAGTAAATTTTGTTTTTTAAGATATTCATCTATTTTCTCCAATGAAATATCATGTCCTTCATATAAATTAGAATAATATTGATAAAAAAAAATTTGTACAGCCACATTATCCATTAAATATATTGTCTCCCTCCTGTAATTTCAATATCATTTTCTTTTCTTTTCTCTTCACAGTTTATAATCCAGCATTTCCCTGGTTTGTTTGCAAATTCAAAATTGCTGTTTTACATAATTCAATTTTATTTCCATTTCTCTTAATGTCAACATGGATAGCTGTTGTTATAAAATCTTCATTTGTTGAGAGATACTTATATCTCCTGCGGAGTTCTTTAATTCTTCCTCTTTTTATTTTATCCAGTGTACTTTGTGTTTTCTCTTGCCTCTTCCTCTTAAATTCAGAGTTATGTTGTATCAAATAACCTCTAATAAAGGCTTTACTTGCATCCCCAAATCATGCCTTTGTTTAAATTATTTTCAAAAAATTATTTTAGTTTCTTTTTGTAGTCTTCCACTATTGCTTCTTTGTGTAACAACACTTCATTTAATCTCCATCTAAAAGAGCTACATTTTCTTTTATGAATCAAACTCACGGGATTATGATCTGAAAAAGCCTTTGGTAGAATCTCCACTTTAGAAACCTTAGTAGTCAAGTCTCTTGAAATCCAAAACATGTTTATTCTTGAAAAAGATCTATGTCTTTCTGAAAAGTAAGTATACTCTCTTGAATTGCCATTTTTCTGTCTCCATATATCAACCAGTCCTAAACTGTCCAAGTATACTCTCTTGAATTGCCATTTTTCTGTCTCCATATATCAACCAGTCCTAA